TCAAGTTTAGGGACAACCAACGTGCACTAACTAATTGTAAGCCACGGACCGGCCAATGCTATGACAGCCACAACTTCTGCATTTTTCCTACTTTTACCAATACATTTCTGTAATAACGTCCCTTGTCTTATACGATCTTCAAAGCAGCCACAGTATTTTTATACGAAAGGTGCTGACTACCATATGCGACTTCGAAGTGAGCTGCTGGCCACACCAGTACCATTTAACTAGAGTAAGCTCTCAATCATTCGACATAGATCATCTGCGTTAACGATCCACATGACAATCTAGCATTATCTTCCTTATACTTTCGATATATAAACTCCACTAATCTTAACAGTTTATATTCCCTTGCTTTCATATTGTTTGGCTTCGAGATTATGGAATAGGGCTCATAACATAGTAATTTCTGCACTTCTTTAATACAGTGTGTTTTTACTTATTATTTTGTCCAACAATAAATAAATGTACAAGGAAGCTGCTAGTTAAATAAAAGGTTATAAATTCTTCTCGTGATTCTGAACGTCAATAACTTACCAAGCTCTGGTTGTGTGGTTTATCAATCGTGATTGATGGGTATGAGTTGGTCAGTTCCATAAAAATATTTCCGGAATAGAATAGTGACACTGCTGAATACGCGAGGATGTTCTTGAAATATAACGCAAGTTGTTCTCAAACACTGATATCTGAAGACACAAGTGAATGCATTTGTATCAACGAAGAAGAAAAGATAATGGTGAGCTACAGAGTTACAGAACATTCCCTGTTGTATCTCGAGAGCTCCAGATAAACCAAATTTATTACTATAAGTAAATTTTCTCCGCCATCACAAACGACATAAGTTCGCCCTCTCTTATTGTGGATACAGTAAGTTATGACAAGACATCCAGATTTACCATGACAATCCCTTTCTTTTCGAAATAGGTATCCAGAATATGAATACAATGGCCACATTAGTCTCGATCACCATTCATTTCGCAAGTTTAAGACTGCTGTTTTAATCTCAATCAATCTTCGAGCTCTGAACCAATAATTAAAATCTGCTTATAAATGTCGCGCACAACTGACCGACAGTTGCTGCCGTAGCAAGGGAAATACATCCAAACTCTTATCACCTCTCAAGTTGTGTATGTTTAATTGTAAATATCACGGAGTTTACAAGTCATTGTTCGTTTAATCTTCGGACGTCACTAATTCTGAAGAGGTCTGAAACTGTGAGAATATTCAGTTGTTTTTATATGAGGTGTAAGCTAAGATCGTGGACAGTTAACACAAACACATTTGCAGTAGCGTTGATCCTCTAGCAATCCCATTCAACATTTTTATCATTTGTGTGTTCTCTGTAATTTGGAAATTTAACCCACTTTGTAAATTTATGTGTGAGTCTAATTGAGCGCATGTCTGCACATCAATCCTTAATCTGTTCTCTCATTGATTGTAAGCAAATACAGTCAATGGTTTATCCACAATCCATTACCACTCATAAATACATATGGATTTTTAACACTCATTGACACACACTCATGTGTTTTCCTTGTGCGCTTGCTATCTGTATGCTCGCGGATTTTTACCAAACTTCAACAATAAACTATCTCTATAAGTGGTGTTCAGGCTTTTGAATAATGTCGAGTAAACTCATAATTCTACCAGGATATTTAGCCCACATTAAATATTCAGTCAACGGGATATTATTTATTTATTGGAGTCAAATATGAAGGAATTAATCCTCTACAGACCTCAAGCATACGACCTTTGAAGCTCAGCATATAATTGCTGAAGAGATTTATATTCGAAAATTGACACAAGGAGAAGGTCAATAATGTAGACGACGGGAAGGATTAATTCATTTCAGTCGGATGGCATGGCTCAGCCCTCCAGAAGTGCTCATTTTGTATAACTTGTTGTTACTCACATTAAATATATTATTCTATTTCTAGCCTAAATGTTTTCTTTAGAAACTCCAAACATCATGTTGTTAACTGTTACGATATTATGAGTTAGTGTAGACAATGATGTGACTTCCATGTAAGATCTTATAGATTAGGTGTACACATCATGACATATCTACAATTTCAGGATTAGGTCTATTATTATAATCATGCTAACAGTGAAGGAAACCGTAGTTCTACACAGTTTTGTACTCAGCGAGAGTGCTTTCTAGGATACAGACTTATTAGACAATGATTGGGAGTGAGATGTCATATTTCGTCAATATATACATGACCAGAAATTTCCGAAAGAGTACAAATGGACAGTTGCATCGCGACCAACTGCTCACCCTTATGAACGAAACAATTTCAATTTGGGAATGCAACTCATAGCTTTGACAATCCATCAACTGATGTGGAACACTGTATACTTAGATTTGTTATGAAGAACGATACGTCATACAGCAGACGTCCATCAGAGAATATATTTTCCTAGACTAGGAATGTTAAAGGACTGAGAACCAAGAGCCAGATAATGGTTCTTTTTGGGGCCAACCACAAACATGCCAGAATGTTCTCTTGTCACCTTTCTCTCTGTGGTTATGTCAATTTATCGATGCATATTTAAGAAGAAAATAGTTCATTTCTCATTCAACATATGATTTCTGTGTTTTCGAAAAAAAGTGCGTGTGATAGTCGTTATCATGGCGGCTGTTCGAGTGTATACTACAAGTGATTACGACAGGAATCTAATCTGTGAACGACCATCACGAGACTTTACAATGGCCTTGAGAATGTCCACAAACTTAGTGGGGTTAAGTAATGACCATAAACTAATATAAGGGATAGGGATAAACGGTTGAATGTAAGGTTTAATAGTTAGACTCAAGGTTTTCATTACGAACTGACTCTAAGTATGGTACAAAAATGCAGTTCAGACGAACTGAAGAATAAACTTCGAGTCACGCTCCAAGACCAACATTCTTAAATCAGATTGGTTCATACACAAATTACAGTCTTAGTAAAATTGCTATGACTTTGTCAGACATAAGTTAGTTTCCGTACATATTATTATTAATCCAACTACGTCAGACGGAACATGGATGTTGTTCCTCGTAGATTATCATGTAAATTAGCTGTACTATAGAACAAGTGTAACCTCCAGTCAGTTGAGTTTCTGCCACAAAAAGTTAATCGACATATGGGAATATTCAAGACTAAAACACCTCCAGGTTAGTATCGGTCCATCATTAGTCTGTAAATTATAGATTGTTTACTAAACAGGATTGATTTGCATTATTCTTATTGACGGGTAATGTAACGTGAAAAAGCATTTCTTATATAGAATAGAACGTTTAGACCGTACTTACTCTTGAATATTGATAATATGTGATGACGACAAAGTGCGACTAAAACAAGTTCAATTCTTTTGTAAAATGAAGCTATTAAAATTCATGGATAAATAAATTACTCCTCCAGTAGATCTTCTAGATCTACTGTCGGTCGAAAGTGCAGGTAAAATAGGAGAGTTGTGCATGAGTTTTGCAAATTCATCTAATGAAGGAAAACCTTGACTGGATAGAATTGTTAAAATCTGCCCAGGAATTTGAAGCTTCTAATTGAAGAAAAGTGATGACAGCGTATAGTGAAAGCTGATATTCTTCCGGGAGCTATGAGGCTTATGCCCTATTTTAACAAACAGAGCGACAAGTATTATTATTATGCAATGTCAGCCTAGCGTGTAGGGACGGGAGGATCACTCAAGTAACTGCCCAAATGAGAAAACGCCACTTAGCGGTGTTCAAAATAAGTGAAACCCTTTGAATGTAAGCTGAAAAAAATGATTTGCTTCAGAAAAGGTTTTATTTAACTCTCGTCATGAGAAAAAAATGCTTCGTGCGCACAGGTATCTGCTCTGGTGCTTTAAAAAGAAGCACGAGAAGCAGTTTTAATATGCGAATATCATGGATTCGGAGTCATCCTCATAAACAAAGATGGAGCGGATCACCACGAATGATATTCAGTGCTCTGAAGCCGATAAAGATCTGTTCTATGAGCGGCTGCAGTCGATGATTAAGAAGTAGCCAGTAAAGACACAAACGTCAAAGTTGGTATGGACAACGCTGAGTATGAAGATATCACGATGCCACATAGATTGAGAGAAGAGAAAATAAAAGAGGAAGCAAAGAATACATAGAACAGCTTGGATGCCGCTAGGGAATTTGATCTTCGCAGATAACCTGTTTCTCATATCCCATACACAGAAATAAATGAAGGTGAAGGCTGAAAGTACAAGAATAGCCTCTGCAGCTGTTAGTCGCAACATACACTAGCTAAAATCCAATATTCTGAAATACAACACAGAGAAAACCAACAAAATCATACCGAATGGAGAGGCTCTACAACAGGTGAAAACTTTAACGTATCTAGGTAGCATCATTGAGGAATAAAGAGGATCCGGTTCAGGTTTGAAGATAAGGGTGGAAAAACAAAGGCAGCATTACTACTTTTGAAGGACATAGCGAACTAAAAATAACTGTCAACCAATATCAAAGTCACATTCTTCAATATGAACGTCAAGACAGTTCTATTGTACGGAGCTGAAACTTGGAGTACTGCCACAAGCATCATCAAAAGGGTACAGGTATTTATAGACAATTTTCTAAGCAATAAATTTAATGTTCGTAGGCTAGACACAGCCAGCACTAACCTACTGTGACAAGAAACAACTGAACTTCCAGTTGGAGAGGGAATTAAGGAAACGCTTCGGAGGCGAATAGAAAGTACATTGTGGAAATCGTTAAACACTCATCTTATCCCTTCCATAAAAGATGGTAATATATACTCACTAACAATGACCTTGAAGACCAAATAATGTCTTCTGTAGATTTTTGCACTCAAATATGATAGAAGGATTTTAAACAATGTGAATAAAGAACCATACATCAATGGTTATTTTTGGCACAAAAGTGATATAGTTAATTTAGGCTTGAATACATAACATTGATATCTGAGCGATTACCTTTATCTGCCTTTATTCGATGAAGCGGTTGCTTTGTACACTGTGGAAGGATGGCCGACAAAAGGAAACTGCAAAGTGACATTGAAAGGAACCTTAAGAGAGTACAGGAGGGAAGAACTGCCTTTCAGGTATAGTCTAACTTTATGTAGTGGGACGAGTTAGTTAGGAAAGTATTAGTTTTATACGGTTAATAGACGATGAAGATGATAAATTTCCCTATAACAACTATATGTGTATATAAATGTACTGTATATGTTGCAATAAAAACAACGAATATTTATTTAAGAGCCATTTCAGCCTACTGTTATCCCTATACGAAACGTATATCTAGACTAACTATTATATAATCACTCGAGTGATCATCACCAACACCACAATGACGCATTATTTTATCTGTTGTGATGATAGCTATTATTTGGGTACTTATTTTAACATCTGTTCATGCACAAGCTATAAAGCATGTCATAAGTTCCAGCTTACCATCATTTATATATTTTCGTCGACCTTCAGTCTTCAGTAATAAGGATAGAAGGTCTAGTGACCTATTTTAATCCTTGCAGTTTGTTACACTGTGGAGGTCCAATCTCGTCTTGAATATATCAACAGAAGGTGCTGATATTACGTGTTCTGGTAGAGAATTCCAGTAATTCACTACTCGGTGCGAGAAACGAAACTCCAGACGTAGACGATTTGATCTCGGTTTTTGGACTTTCTTTGAATGTCCTCTCAAATGCTCAGCCCTAGACGGGAGGAAAAGATAGGACATGTTAGTACCAAGGTCATCGTTCAGGATTCGATATGCCAATATTAGATCACCCCGTATTCGCCGGTAAGATAACGGAAATAAGTTGAAGTGTCTCAGTCTGTCTTCATAAGATAGGCTAGATAAGCCTTTTACCATTTTTTTCCAGCGGCGTTGGACTCGTTCCAACATATCCGCCTCATATTTGAAACAAGGGCTCGCTGCTTGAATCCCATATTCCAAATGTGGCCGTACGAAAGTTGGGTATAATAATCTAAACATTTCCCCATCCAGATACCGGAAAGATCTACGAATAGACCATAATGCCCTATAGCCTTTTGCAGCAGCAGCCTTACAGTGACTGGTTGTTTTGAGATCATTACTTAGTATGACTCCTAAATCTTTATAGTTTCTTACTTTGGGCAACACTAGTCCACATAATGTGTAGTGATGCGAATCATCGTAGTTATTTAATTGCATCACAACACTTTTATTAGGGTTTACTTCTAGTGACCACCCATTCATCCATGCAACTAGTGAGTTAAGATCTTCCTGTAAAACTATTCTGTCTGACATGCTATATATGGGTCTCCAAATCTTAATGTCTTCGGCGAATAGTAGGACGGATGACTTAGCTATAGCTGGTAATTCATTTATATAAAGTAAAAAGGGAAGAGGACCTAAAATCGTGCCTTGAGGGACGCCACTTTTTACTGGTTCCCACGATGAGAGAGCCCCATTTACTCTTACCCGTTGTCTCCTTTCATGAAGAAAGTCACTTATCCAGTCTATGACTGCATAATGAATTCCAAAACTTTCTAGTTTCAATTTAATACCGGAATGGGAAACCTTATCAAAGGCTTTACTTAAATCTATGAAAATGACATCTACAGGAATATTGCGATCGTTTGCCTCAGCCCAATCTTCTCTTGCAATGAGAAGATTTGTCAAACATGATAGACCTTTTCGAAAACCATGTTGTTCCTTTGACAAAAGATCATGTCTTTCCGCGTAGTTTATAACAGCCATCCTAATAATTTTTTCCATTAGTTTTACAATTGCACTAGTTAAGCTGACGGGTCGATAGTTACTAACTAAATCCCTACCCCCAGTCTTATACACCGGACTGATTATTGCGTGCTTCCAGTCTCTGGGCAATCTGGACTGCCGTAGGGACATATCGAACAGTATCGCTAAGGGTTCAGCAATAACATCTGAGAGGGCTTTCATAATCCGAGGATGAATATCATCAGGACCACTAGACTTATCAGGTTTGAGATGCTGGAGTAGGCTTAAAACAGTTTCTTTCTTAATAACTACAGGGTCCATCAACAAGTCGCCACAATCACAATGAATAGGTGATCGTTCCTCATTATTGGTATCATTTCTTGCCAAACTTAACGGATTTTCTTGTATCAAAAGTGATGGTATTCCATCACTTCTCTGAGTTCGCCTCTTTATATACGAGAATAACCGTTTTGGACTATGTTTGCAATCCCTAACCAATTGTTTTTCGTATGACCGTCTAGTTCTACTAATTAACGCTTTACAATTATTTCTAATCTTACGATAACTAGATCTGTACTGTTCTAAGCCAGTAGAGATGAACATGTTCCAGTGTTTTTTTCTGCACCTAAGGAGTTTTTTAATTTCTTTATTTATCCACGGTGGATTATTGTTCGGTCTACGTGGCACCAAGTATGGTATGAACGGGGACGTGACTGCACTAAACTTGCCTTTAAATACAGACCACGCCTCATCAACTGATGAGCTAGTATCTACTGACCAATCTATCTTAGTAGCACAATCCTGAATTTCTGGTATGTTAGCTCTCCATATGTTTGGGCGAGGCTTAATCTGATCGTATATCATATCGCTAGCTCTAAACGTGAATGATAAAACAGCGTGATCGCTATTTACTAACGGGGGAAGAATATTTAGGTTGGCAATATCCTCAGTCTCATGAGTAATTACCAAGTCCAACAGAGAAGAACCTTGGTTTACACCAAAACGTGTAGGTTTGGATACATGTTGTACTAGTGCATGTTCCATTACTGTTTCCAAGAGCCTGCTATCAAATGAGTTTATAGAGCATTTCGTGGTCATCTCAGTCCAACTAATGTCAGGTGCATTAAAGTCTCCTAATATCAAGCGTCTGTTATTTGCACTCCATAGCCGAATGTGCTCTAAAATAAAGTCATCAGCTAAGCAGATTGGGCTGCGATAGATGACACCGAGTGCAAATGTACAACATCCGACAGTGAGTTCACAGCTAATGGCTTCACTAGTTCCACTATCTTGGGATTCGCAAACGGAGGAGCGGATATTTATACTATTGGCTATGTATAGAAGGACGCCACCTCCTTTCCTGCATCTATGTCTATCACTTCTTAAACAATGATATTCGGATAATTCTGGGGTGATATCGAAGTCATGGACTAACCAAATTTCCGTCACAGCTACAATGAGTGGCCTTAATTTGTCCACTAATGTTCCTAGCTCGTAGAATTTATGTTTTAGACTACGGGCATTGGCATATAAAACTCCTAGGGGGAACGACCTATCCACACAGGCCTTGGTAGCATTCGCTTCCAAGACCTGACTATTCGAAAACCCACCAATCGGAGATTTTCTTCACCGTTTTGTCGACGGGTTTCTAGTTCAGCTAGTGCCGTCTTCCTTTTTATTCTATCTTCAAGAGACACATCCGGTCGCATTCGAATGTCAGAGTTGTCGTGACTCCGAGCGTTACTTAACAGAAGATCACGTTGTTTCTCCGACCCTAAGATTAACTTAAAGAGTCTACACTTTCGGGATAGAACACTGTCATCGGCTCTTTTACCTATTCTAACTAATTTTTTGACCTGAACACCTTTAGTGTTATCTGGTAATATGCTACGGATATATTCTCCGAGCCTCTCCAAGTCATGGGTGTGTCTAACCTTAGGATCTGGATCGTTAGACTCTGGCAATTTACTCACAATAATATTCGATGATATTAAATTCCTCTCAGTCGCACTAGGATGATGATCTGCCGTTCTATCAGAGTGCGATAATGCATTGAGTGACTCAGACTGTCAGTTCCTCAATGGCTTGTCAACCAAGTGTGTTTTATCATTAGCTTTTTTTCCTTTCCTTTTCCTCTTTACTGCGGTACATTTTTGGTCATTCAGGACAGCTGCATTGGGACTATTGGGGACGGTGACGGTTTTATCCGGGTCCTCAATTTCTACTAAAGATACATGATTACTCATGTTAATACCATGTGGTGATTTACTCCTCGTTTGTTGTAACGGAAGTTTCACTTCGTCATTAATTAGAGTAGGTTGTTCAGCGCGTTTTGTAACAGCACTTACAACAATGACACAGTCTTCACTGTCAGTGCTTGCGTTACTAGCGCACCCACTATCTTTCTTTTTACAGGCTAGAGCCAATAGGCTCATAGCCTCTTGAATTAATGTCGTCTTGTTAGTACAGCAGAACATACAAAGCCAGTGCGAGTTAGGCTTAGAACATCTTTTGTATGCAGCTGGACTGAGACGGGTACACATCTTGTGGTACCATTTTTTGCATTCATCGCACTGCATCCCTTCATCTACGGGGAATAAACAGTTCGGCTGTCCACATTTGAATGAACTACCAACCATTGTAATCAGATTAGGTTTAAAAAACAATATGATCACAATAATAGCACAAGCGTCAGAGTATATGCAAAAGAAGGAACCAAGAGACAAAGTTTTCAATAAAATTTCAAACCTTAACTGGATTAATTCAAGTTAAAGTAGACCAAGAATGCTTTTGATACAGCAAATACACAAAAGCAACGATAATCACAACAAGTATGAAAGTCACTGCCCTTTTTGAAACGCTTTTTGATAGCCTTGATATACTTCGTTTTACAAAAAGTCACTAAAATGCCTAATTATTCGAAGCTAAACTTTTTTGCTAGTCTAGATCATTTATTATCTAGCTACTGGTAAGGCCTCATCTAAATGAAAAGCATGGGTAACAGTGACAGTGAGTGTGTATTTCAAAGTTTCTAGTTTTTTACGTTTATGTTTCAAGAATGTGACGCAGCTCTAATTCACGTTCAAAAATACTCATAAATAACTGAGGGGTTTTGAACTTGCAGCCTATTACATATTCGTACCACAACTACTGAATCGCCATTTCATATTTTGCAACGAGCTTTAAGCAGCCTGACTGTTAAATAGCTCTTATCCAGTATATCTAAATGCAAACAAGGCTCATTAGTAACGGAATTCTTTTGTGTTAAAATCAGCATAAATATCAGGTTGAGATTTTATGCCTTTTTAAAAAAATGTATGACCACAAGGTTTTCTTAGCCCATTTACTGTCCAGGTAATAATTATGGTAGAAGTTTGGTTTTGAAGTCACTTCATTCTGTTACAATGGACAAAATACACTAAGAACTTTCTGATGTTTGACTGCCAACAGATAGCTGAAAACTATTTCAGTTAACTTGCAAGTTGTAACTTCCTTGCCTCAAACTATTTGTTTTCTACATGAGTTGTATATTGCGCTGTTAATTTCGGAAGATCACCTTGTAGTTTACTCAACCTTGCATACAGCTTACGAGCTACTAAATATTCACGAAAATTCATACGAAAACTAAGCCATTTTTGATATCCAAGCTTTTGAATACTGTATAAAATCGGTTTGTGTAGCCGGAGTCACGTATTTCAAATGAAATGCTTGTAATCTGACTGGTCAGTTATTCATTTGTTTCTTAGATCCAATAGGATATTTTCATTAAGTATTGCGTTATTCCATATTTATCGATTTAAATATTAGCACTTCACATGGTTAGCACGACAAATAAAAACCCACTAGATTTGTAAAACTGATCTATCATTCCGGAAATATCTATGATATAGAGGACCAGTAAGTTTCAGTCGCTCATGCGCTAATAATAGCATGTAAGTTAATCTTGTTTTCATTTGAACCATCCCCTGACTTTGTAATGTATGTTCTATTATTAACTATTGTTTTCTGGTTTAATGCTTCTTTGAACATGCAACCAGTGATAATAATTTAATAAATGACGCCTTATTTCTTGAATCCAGAACCCAAACTATATTTTGGGGACGTTTGCCAAACTATAAGACAGACTTTATTAGCCATGTGCACGCCGTGTCTCTTAAACACAAATATAGGGGCCAAGTTTGATTATTCAACCAACCTCTACAGAGAATCCACACGGTTCATTCTTCGCTTATACGTTGGTTTGTCACCAATTTCTTCTTGTCTCATCAGTATGCGTACAACGTTGGCTACATAGTCATATAATTGTCAAAAGTGGGTAACTTTACACATTGACAGTTGTAGCATATTTTCATTTATTTTCTTTTTTTCTAATCAATCCAGGAAATACTGGATAAGTTTGAAAGTACCAATAATCCAACTCAAAAAGAAAAGTTTGAAGGCGATTTAAAAAAAGAAATTAAGAAACTTCAAAGATTAAGAGATCAAATCAAAACATGGATTACAGCTAGTGAAGTAAAAGATAAGCGACCATTATTAGAAGCACGTAAAGAAATCGAACAGGATATGGAACGATTCAAAGTAATTGAAAAAGAGACAAAAACCAAAGCTTATTCCAAAGAAGGTCTATTATCAATTGAAGCGAAAAAAGATCCATTACAGAAAGAAAAAGAAGAATTAGATGATTGGTTAAAACAATGTATCAGTTCATTAAATACACAAACAGAAAAATATGAGTTTGAGATTGAAAACTTATCAAATAATACTAAAAAGAAAAGAATAGATAAAGAAACAGCTTCAGCAATCGATGAAAAACGTCAACGTTTAGAAATGTGTTGTTTTCACGTTGAAAAACTTGAAACAATTATGCGTTTATTAGATAATGAACGATTAGATTGTACAAAAGTTAGATCTATTCAAGAGTCTATTGAATATGTGATCGATTGTAGTGATAATCAGTCTGTGTTTGACTTTAAGAATATTTATGATGATTTATGTTTGGATGAGTTAGGTGATTCTACTGGAATAACTGCAGCATCAGGCACTGCAACAGGAAATCAAGAGCATGATTTAAATGGTGTAATAACCCCTGGTGCTACCTTGGTAAATCAACGAGTAGGGAGTGATGATGCTGGCTCTTCAACTTCAACTCATACAAGTGCATCAAATAATACAGATTCGTCTGTCACTCATCCTGGGTCATCAGCTTCCTCCAATGCGTCTTCTTCCCGAGAACGTGCTAAAAGTGATGATAAAGTCTCCTTGTTACCACATGTATCCGCTTCTTCTACTAGTACACCTATAAAATCTTCAAATACACCAGGTTCTTCGAGTAAACAAAAACCTGCTGCTTTAATTAACCAAACTGCTCCTGCTCTTATGTCCCAAGTTGTTGCTGGCACTCCTAATAAGTCTGGGAAGTTGAACGCAAATAATCATTCGACATCAAATAGTATAACAATCGTTTCTGAGATGGGCCCGATCAAATCCTCTAGTACTCTAGATTCTCAGGTTGTTGTTGAAGACCTTTCTCGAAACCAGAAGAACGAAACCAATCAGAAACATAATGACCGTCCCAATACAGTTACAACAAATCCTCAGTTACAATCACAAATAAAAAATGGCCCCAGTGATGATAGCAATTCATTAACACCTTCCTCCTCTGTTTCAGGAATAAATTCAACATCTACAGTACCTAGTCTTGCATTTTCTGCCTCTCATGTAAAGGAAGATTCCTCTGTGATCAACGGTCGAGAAGAATTACTTGCTCCATGTCAACCGTCGTGTGTTCCCAACTCAATAAATTCTTCATCGCCCATTCCACTCCGAAGTATGTCATCTGATGTTAGCAAGACTTCAGGTGTTACTAATGCTTACAACAATTCGATGCTTTCCACTTCTACAGATGAAAGCCCTGAAAACGTTAATCGTACTCCTCCCAGTCTATATTCAACGGCTATGCTAGCTGCTTCTCAGGATAAACAATTGTCATCCCTACTCGCCTGCTCTCAGCATCCATCTTTAGGACGTGCAGGTTCCAATGTTGCTATGGATCCGTCACTTTCTACAATTTCCTTGTCTAGTAAATTTCATTCAACATCTAGTGTTTCATCTTTACCACTTCCTTCAACTATCATATCTACAAGCAATCCTCAAGTACAGTCCTCTTATTTAGGACTAGACAGCCAACTAACCAGTATACAACCATCTTTACATTCTCAACAAATGAAAAATCAGAATAGTCCTGTTCATGCTCATATGCATCCACGTGATGCTGCTGCTCCTTTCCGTAACAGAAATCTAGACAAACCCAAAGGAGCTGTACCACAAGAGGTAAATTAATTTTTATCTTCTCCATTCCGGTCTATTTTTCATATGTCCTGGCCTTTCTTTTTTAATTTTATTTATTTTATCTAAACACATAAATATTGGTACAAGGAAGCACCAGATACATATGCGCCATACAAATCTCATTCGATTTGTGTGAGGGCTGTGATACTGCCCAGGTGCCCAGACTGAAGCAGGTAGTTTTCTTAGGGGGCCACACCCCGAGCCTTTGACCTGAAGGTCTGATTCACAAGGCAGTGGAGCATCGTGAGGAGATGCAGTCCCATGGTAGCCGGTGATCAACGGTTGATTCGTACGCCATTTGTTCCCTCAGGATACTTGAGCCGACTGGTTTGGAATGAGGGTTTTCCAACCTCCTCTAGGTGAACTTTCCATGTCCACCAACCCGATTAAAGCGCCGGACATTCGCTTTTCGTCCTTTCACTTTCGTAAACAACACCCCCTTTTAAGAGAAGGCAGTGAGTAGGACTTCCCTGGCAGAGGCTATATATTCGCTGGCCGTGTGAGAGCATTTCGAGAGGGAGAGCGGACTCTCCCCACTCTCGGCCGTACCAGGGCGTTCGGGGGCATTTGTTTACATCATTGCATTGATTTAGTCTTAACCAAACTAACGTGATTGTTTAATGTTTCGAGCTGTTGCAATAATGTTGCATCAAAATGAAAAAGTTAAAAAAGATCAGCAAGTACAAACGATTAATTTCATTAGAAAATATAATGATTCTATCATCCGCCATACCCCATCCATAGACTTTATCGCGAGGATACCATTTTGTGATACCACACAAGCTGATAAGTGTTTTAAACTGCTAAACAAAAATTCACTAATTTCTCTGTTGTTTTAGCAATTACATACTACTAAAAGTGATCTTGAGTGCTGTTAGAGGTTCAAATTGTTTCATATCTGTCTTCTTTCCTATACCATATCCTTATATACAATATTTTATATATATTACCACCACTAAATTAATTACTTCTATGAATCCGGTGTTCATCTTGTTGTGTTAACGAGATATGGCAACTTGGACCGATGCATATATGTGCCTGGTCCTATGTTGTAGCTGACTAACTGACTACTAATAAAAGGAGCAGAAACACTTTAAATTTCTTTCCTATTAAAGTTGATTATAGTTTATAAATATAAAAAGTGTCAATTCGAAAAACCATTTGGTGGGAGTTGTCAGTGCTTATTAGAATAGTTGCCACTGGTATAATAATTTTCACTTGATGCTAAAATTTCGTATGTTTTGGGTTTGACGTCGTCTCGCAAAAGAAAATTCGATATTTTATTGCACATTCTCAGGTTGTGGTTGACCAAATTTATTTATTTCAACACAAATATTGGTACAAAGGGGCACCAGATATATATGCGCCACACAAAAGATGTCATTTCATTTGATTGTGTGAGGGCTATGATACTGCCTAGGTGCCCAGACCGAGGCAGGTGGTTTTCTTAAGGGGCCACACTCTGAGCCGTTGACCTAAAGATCTGATCCACAAGGTAGTGGAGCATCGTGAGGAAATGCAGTCCCATGGTAGCCGGTGACAAATGTTTGATTCATACATCATTTGTTCCTTCAGGATACTGGAGCCGACTGGTTTGGAATGAGGGTTTTTCAACTTCCTCTAGGTGGACTTTCCATGTCCACCAACCCGGTTAAAGTGCTGGACAGTGGCTCTTCGTCTATAATTTTGTAAACGATACCCCCAGCCTCGAGAAGGCCGTGAACAGGACTTCCCTGTCAGAGGTTATATACGCGTGGCCATGTGAGAGCATTTGGAGAGGGAGAACGTACTGTCTACACTCTCGGCCGTACCAGGGCATTTGGGGGCAAATCATCCGAAAGTTAATTATCATTAAATACTTATCAACATTACATTAGCCTCCTAAACAAAATATATTTGTAATATTTCTTGAAACATGCAGATTCATTAAATGGTGTAAAAACCACAATTTATAAAATCATTATACCGAGTAATCTTTTACCAGAATCCTAGTGTTTGTTTTGGTCAGCTTAAATCGAGCTTTCTGGCAAACAAAACTGTGACATGCATGTATATTTGATCGTATTCTTTAATCTTAAATTGTTTTTTTTACAAATTTCCGGCAGGATTAGAACTAGAGGTCACTAAGTAACTGTTTCATCCTAGTTTGGAACTTATCAACAGTACATCGCCCCACTCATAAGAGCTCAAATTCAAGAGATTCAGTTATCGGCATATTCATACTAACATTGAGACTAGTGAGTCGTAATTAACTGCTACACACTTACCAACTTTAGTCACTCAGTTATACTATATGGAGCTGGGTTCAAACCCTATAGTCGATGCCCGAAAGTCGGAAACCTTAATCACTGAGTCACCGCTCCATCATCTAATACTATCATATAAGGTCATGGATGAAAACTGTTAAAGGGCCACGAACTAGGATTAAATATCTATCTATCTAGGAGTCCTTAACTTCTAATGATTTCTAGCTATTTTTTAAATGACTATTAAATTGCACGAATCTCTACAGACTTGTTTAACTGACTGACTGACTGACTACAGACTTGTTATATAATGGAAAAATATGTTGGAATTGTACTAATAATGCTGTTACCTACTGATTTCAATTAAGGTGTCGGTAGTCCAATTTTCCGAGATATAAGTAATACTTTCTGTCTAACTATTTGCCCACATTGCCCCAAATGCCCTGGTACGGCCGAGAGTGGGGAGAGTCCGCTCTCCCTCTCGAAATGCTCTCACACGGCCAGCGAATATATAGCCTCTGCCAGGGAAGTCCTACTCACTGCCTTCTCTTAAAAGGGGGTGTTGTTTACGAAAGTGAAAGGACGAAAAGCGAATGTCCGGCGCTTTAACCGGGTTGGTGGACATGGAAAGTTCACCTAGAGGAAGTTGGAAAACCCTCATTCCAAACCAGTCGGCTCCAGTATCCTGAGGGAACAAATGGCGTACGAATCAACCGTTGATCACCGGCTACCATGAGACTGCATCTCCTCACGATGCTCCACTGCCTTGTGAATCAGACCTTCAGGTCAAAGGCTCGGGGTGTGGCCCCCTAAGAAAACCACCTGCTTCAGTCTGGGCACCTGGGCAGTATCACAGCCCTCACACAAATCGAATGAGATTTGTATGGCGCATATGTATCTGGTGCTTCTTTGTACCAATATTTATGTGTTTAAATAAATAAATAAATTTGCTCACATTGAATTATCCATAGTAAATTAGAGCGTATTGATAAGGATGCTGAAATACATTTTTCTAACATACCTGCTAAATATCAAGTTTTGAGATATTGTTTAAATTGTCAATGACAGATGTAAGGTGTACCATATGATGTATGATAATAAGGATCTTATGAATAAGCTTCTCAGTTTGTGTTTTTTTTCGCTCATTCACAAGTTACCAGCGACGACGATTTTTCATATTTTAATTGAAAATGAGAAGAAATGATTATAAGGATTAATTTCATATTCTGTTTCAGTATGAAATTCCTTCAACTACTCATTATCTTCCTTTCGATAGCTTTTGAGTAATTTTGCATCGAAAAGGTTGTGTTAGAGTGTGACCATGCTAATAAATGTAGAGTGCCTAGTTGGTATCTGCGATTTTCTTCACTAATACTTGGAAACTTTAGTAACATGAATTAAAGTTAATCGTAATGGCTTAGATACTCAATGCCTTCTGGTGGCATTACTGTTGTTTACCAAATTGAGAGAACGAAAAGTGAATGTCCGACGCTCTAACCGGGTCAGTGGACACGGATTGTCTGCCTAGGGGAGTTGGAAAACCCTCATTCCAAAACATTAGTGCACATGGGCTCCAGTATGCTGAGGCAACAAATGACGTATGAACCAATTATTGGTCACCGGCTGCCATAAGACTGCATCTCCTCACGATGCTCCACTGCCTTGTGGATCAGACCCGTAGGTCTAAGGCTCTGGAGTGTGATCCCCTAAGAAAACCACCTGCTTCGGTCTGGGCACCCGTATAATATCACAGCCCTCACACAAATCAAATGAAATTTGTGTGCCGCATATGTATTCGGTACCGATACTCGTGTGTTTAAATAAATAAATAATAAACGTTCATTCTTTGTCTTCTTTTCGATCTTGAAATTAAATATGATCCTTTACTTTTTTATCCCACGAATCCATATCTCTTGAAATTATTTTATCTATAGTTAATGATTAATATTATCACTAATACTGTTACTGCTTTTACCAATCTGACATTTGTCTTGTTCACTTCTTATCGCTATAGTGTTATTGTGTGACAATTCGAGTTGATGCATATGTGTGTCAAATTCTGTTTTTTTTTGAAAGATGATTAACTGAATTTTTTTCAGTCAGTCAGTCAGTTACAACGTAGAACTTCGTACGTACGTACATCAGTTCGAGTTGCCACACCATTTGCCATACTTTTTCTAGGATAAAAACTAATAAGTTAGATTAAACTCCTAAATATAATTCAATTATAAAAGTTTAACAGATTACTATATATCTTATAAAGTTAATCCATATACATATGAACAAATAACAAGAAATAAGACAATTGGTGAACAGTTGCTCAAACTTCGTGGATTGATTGAAGTTAAACATTAACACCGTTGGATGCCACCCGGCTCAGTGGTCTATCAGTTAAGTGTTCTGGCGAGAGACTGATGGGTCCCGGGTTGGAATCTCGCGAGTGCGGTATCGTGGATGCGCACTGCTGAGAAGTCCCATAATAGGACGAAACGGCCTTCAAGCAGTGCTTCAGGTTTTTCATGGTTGTCTAGCTTCAATTGACTCATGATTTCAATTATGAAAAAATACATCATACCCATTGTATTTAATACTTCTTAAAAAATGGATATATTTTTCCTTTTGACCATTTCTATGAACTACTGTTATATATATATTATAGAAATACAATACATTCATTGAGAAATCCACTTTTCAGAAGGGGGTTTTGTGTGGATTTCTAGTAATTTTATATAGTTGAGATCATGAGTCAATTGAAGCTAGACCACCATGGAAAACGTGGAAGCACTGGAAGGCCGTTTCGTCTTATCGTGAGACTCATCTGCAGTGCACATCCACGATCCCGCCTCTTGAGATTCAAACACAGGACCTATCTGTCTCTTGCGGGCGAGCGTTAACCACTAGACCACTGAGCTAGCCGGTACCCAACGGTGTTAATGTATCACTTCAACCTATCCACGAGATTGAACGATACATTCACCAGTTGTCTTCAGTGATTTGATATCTCACAACAGATCTAGTTGAACTCCACTGTTTACTGTTTCTCACTAGAACTTCAGGAAATACCTCATGAAGCCAGTTACTAGTGAGCATATGATCATTATCAAAAGGGGGGGGGTTTGTGAAGTAATTTTATATAGTTGAGATCCACTTATAATTTACCTTTGCTATTACTCTGTTTAATGAAAATCAATAAAATTAATCGATTCGTCGTCTCTCTCTTTTTTTGTTGTTGTCATGGTAAATCAATAAAATCTAATTGTCATTTAGTATTTTTTTCCTTTTTTTAGGTTTAAATGAAAGTTACAAATAATTATGTCTTATTTTTAAAATTTATTCATATGATATAAGAAAGTTTTTGTTTCTTAGTTACAATCACACCATTTGGATTATTGATATAATGTATTATTTATTACCGCCTATCTAAGTCATTTCGTCAGTCATTCACAACGTAGAACGTCGTACGTACGTACATAAGTTCGAATTGCCATGCCACATTAACACAGAGATGAAGTTGTCGATTCAAATCGCATATTGGTAGAAGTAGTAAGAGTATAAGTATTATGTGAAAGATAAGGGTTTGAAGATGTTATTGAAGGAGTATAATACAGTGAAATAAATTTGTGAAGAGAAAAAAGATAGAGACAGGAAGTATTCAGAAGATTAGAATCTGGCAGGACAGAAAGAGTGGATGCACCTTCGCCATTGCAAACGATTTTGAGCCATGTTATTCAAGGTCTTTAACCATCGATTGCTATCATCTTGCGAATCGCAACCAGGTAGTCTACATCTACCAACATGGCTCAGTCCAATTGTCAGTGACTTCATGGATTTGTGCCACGTTTTGATCTGTCCACCCTTAGTTTTCTTCCAACCTACTTCTACATCATAAAACATCGCATGTCGGGGGAGTCAGTTGTTGGGCATACGTAACACGTGTCCGCGCCATCTCAACTGATCAAGTTTCACTACTTCAATCGATTTGCCATCCTCATATAGTACCCGTTTCTTAACAACTTAATTACTTAGTCGGTGGTCTCAGGATATACGAACAATGCTTCGAAGACACCTATGATCGAACACTGATAGCCTACGAATATCCTCTACTCTTACAGGTTATCTTTTCAGATCCGATCGTATAACTAGAATTTCACTTATTGTCTTCAACATCTTTATATCTAGTGCTTTTTAATTGAAGAAGTTATGGGGCGGTGACTGAATGGTTAAAATGTACGTTTTCAACCGATAGGTCGCAAGTCTATACAATGTTCCACTTAGTTTGATAAAATCACTGAGTCTTACACAAAAAGGAATATAGTTCCAACCCAACTGCATATAAACCTGTATTTCGTAAATGACTTATATTCGTAAAGAACATTACCATTTAACTATCCATCTTAATATGTGGATTTAACTGAACTATCTTAGTAATTGAATAAATCTATGCTAATTATTCATTTTCATAGTTGAGATCATAAGTCAATTCAAGCTAGACCACCAGGGAAAACCTGGAAGTACTGGAAGGCCGTTTCGTCCTATTATAGGACTCCTCAGCAGTGCGCATCCACGATCCCGTCTGGCGAGATTTCAACCCAAGATCTACCAGTCTCTCGCCAGAGCACTTAACCGATAGACCACTGAGCCGGCCGGCATCCAACGGTGTTAATATCTAACTTCAACCAATCCACGATGTTTGAACAACCGTTCACCAATTGTCTTCAGTGAGTTGATATCTCTACAACAGACTTGGTTGAACTCCATTGGTCACTGCTTCCCACTAGAACTCAAGGAAACCTCCCTTGAAGTCAGTCACTAGTGAGCATATGATTCTAGATCAGGAGTTTTGTGGAGATTTCAGTATTTCCATAATTGAAATCATAAGTCAATTGAAGCTAGGCCACCATGGAAAACCTTTTATTTTATTGACTATAATAAATATGAACCGATTAAATAATTACTAACCAAACCATAAATTGATACCATTTACAATTGTTGATGGAGTAAGAAAGAAAGAAAAAAAAAGATCATTACAACTCTCTTTGATTGAGAATTTAGTTCTCAGGTCAATTCATTAAAATAAACAAACAAACACACACACACACACTCAAAAAGAAATCAATTTGCTATGAATATAAACTAGTACAATTTATACAAAATTAATAATTCCTTATTCAGAAGGGGTTTTTGTTTTTGTGTGAAGATTTATTATTTTCATAGTTTCAAGCGTAAGTCAATTGAAGTTAGACTACCAAGAAAAACCTGAAAGCACTGCTTGACGGCTGTTTCGTCCTATTATAGGACTCCTCAGTGGCAGTGCGCATCCACGATCCCGCACTCGCTAGTTTCGAATCCAGAACCTACCTTGCCTCGCACCTTATTCTGTTTCGAATCAAAAATATGACAGCAAATGAATCTGGAATTCAGATTTATATATTTGAAGTTATTTTATTATTCATGAATTATGATCGTTATATCTCTGGTATATTATAGTTCTTCTTATTATTATTTAGACGCATAAATATTGGTACAAGGAGGCACCAGATAAATATGCGCCGCACAAATTTCATTTGATTTGTGCGAGGGCTGTGATACTACTCAGGTGCCCAAACCGAAGCAGTTGGTTTTCTTAAGGGGCCACACCCCGAGCCTTTGACCTGAAGGTCTAGTCCACAAGGTAGTGGTGCATCGTAAGGAGATGCTGTCACATGGTAGCCGATGACCAATAATTGGTTCATGCACCATTTGTTCCTTCAGGATACTGGAGCCTATGTGCATCATTGGTTTGTAATGAGGGTTTTCCAACTCCCCTAGGTAAACTTTCCGTGTCCACCAATCACCTGGTTAAAGCGCCTGACATTCACTTTTTGTCCTCTCGAATCCGTAAACAACACCCCACCACAAAAAGTCAGTGAGTATGACTTGTATGGCAGAGGCTATATATGCCCGTATCCATGTGTTTAAATACATTCGATTGTTCCCTCACTCGTGTTTTGTTCACTACATTATAATCACCATGGCAACTCATATATCTCAAGTTGTTTATATTATCATATCTTTTTATTTTGTTTTAGTTTTCAACTCTAATCTCTCTTCTTTTATTTCTTTTCTTTTTACAATGAATACATGAATATACAACCATATATAGCTTCTATTACAACTTCAAGCATTAGAAAGTGGTTATCGTCGTTTACCTCATTCATGTGATACAGAAAAATCTCGTATGATTATCTGTAAAAATACAATCAATTGTCCAATCTATTATCCACGTGAACCTATAATTGGTACAGATAATGAAGAATATTATATGAAATTAGATGCTCAAACATTATTTTTTATATTCTATTATTTTGAAGGTACTAAAGCTCAATATTATGCTGCTAAAGCATTAAAACGTATGTCATGGAGATTTCATACAAAATTTATGATGTGGTTTCAACGACATGAAGAACCAAAACAAATTACCGATGAATATGAATCTGGTTCTTATATTTATTATGATTATAGAACAATGAGACAACGTAAAAAAGAAGAATTTATGTTTCATTATAGTTTTTTAGAAGATAAAGACTTTTAAATAGAAGAAAGTAGGAGGTGGTAAACGAAGAAGGATACAATATTGTTATGATGGATTACATATCTATCTTTTTTTTTTCCTTTTTGTTATTGTTGTTGTTTCATTCAATTAGTCAATGTTCAATCTATTTATTTATTGTATAAAGAGTAAAAAAGAGAATGAATGAATAGGTGCTTTCATATTTGTTAGTTTGCATTTTTTTGCTATTTTGATTGGTGTAATTTCCCCCTCTCCCTCCCTACTTACCTCCCCCATTTCTTTCTTTTTCCCCTCTTCCTTCAATTACATAATGCAGCTATTGTTAATTACTTTACTTACTTACGCCTGTTACACTTCGTCGAGGAGCAAGCAATTGTTGATCGAATCTATAAATCGATTGGGAGTTTCTTTTCCTTTTGTGTATAACACTATTACTAGTATTATTATTATTAATATTGATAATTATCAGTGATATTATTCATTCAATATATAATATTATTTAAGACTGTTTCGTCACTTGAACAAATCTTTCATCATCATCATCATCAGTGTAAATCAATCAAATCTATTTATTATAAAAGAAAACAATTAATTAGTCAATCAAGTCTTTATTATTCCTCCCCCCCGTAATACATGTATGTGTGTGTGTGTGTGCGGGTACGTCTCTTTCTAATTCTTTGTTTTATTTTGTTTTTGGATAAATGTAATTATTCCGCTATGTTTAATTAAAACTTCTCTCTCTCTCTCTCTATATATATATATGTATATGTAAATGTAAATGTGCATAGTAACAATTGAATTTGCATTTAAACATAATCAATAATCAATATTTTTCCAATCAATAAAAGTTTTTTCTTTTTTTTTTCGTTTTTGTTTTTTCTTTCTGTTTTTTGTTTCTTCTAAAGGAAAGAAAAAATTAAAATCGATAAATGCAAATAAATAAAAAATTTAGAAATATTCGTTATTTTTTTAATTATTTATTGTTATGTTTTATATCATTTGGTGTTAGAATGTTTTTAAAACTTTGAATTTACTTGGTATTGTTTGTTTGAAGTGAAAGGTATTTGGGTTCAAGTCCTAGAGTGAATATTTATTCTAAGATGTAGGTACATCCAACTGACAAGTCCCAAATGCTCTGATACGGCCAAGAGTGGGGAAAGCCCACTCTCCCTCTCGAAATGCTCTCACATGTCCACGCGAATTTATAGCATCTACCAGGGAAGTCCTACTCACTGCGTTCTCGTAGCATTACTGTTGTTTACGTAAGTGTGAGGTCAAAAAAAGAATATCTGGCGCTTTAACCTGGTTAATGGATATGAAGGGTCCACCTAGAGGAGTTGGAAAACCCTGATTTCAAACCAATGGTGTACATGGATGCTAATGGAACAAACTGCTTATGAAACAATCGTTGGTCATCGGCTACCGTGGGACTGCATCTCTCACGATGATCCACTGCCTTTTGGATTAGACCTTTAAATCGAAGGCTCCGGATGTGACCCCCTAAAAAATTCTGTGCAGTTCGGACACCTGGGCAGTATCACAGCCCTCACACACATCAAATAAGATTTGTGCGGGGCATATGTATCTGGTGCTTCCTTGTACCAATATTTATGTGTTTAAATAAGTAAATAATAAACGAGTCCCAAATAGGACAAAACGAGTATCCTAGATTCCACTGCTAGCTACTGTCCATGTTTGCTTATTGAAATCTTGTTTGTTTGTACCGAATAATCAAAGAATAATATTGATGATAATAATTAGTTGTTTAGTGAGTTTTGAACAATCGACTCTTTAAATTCTTACTTTTACTTTACTGAAAAGTCGATTCGTATCATAGGAATCCTTGTAAAAACAAAATGTAACTTAAAACTGAACTTTGTTTTGTTGAATGAGTTAACCTTCTGGTTGAAGACATACTGAAACTAGGTATTATAATCAAATAGAACTGTATTGAACAAGAACACGAGTGGGGACAATCGAATGTATTTAAATACAAAATTACAAACTATCTTACTAAGATCTGATAACCATTCAGTAGTAAACAGTTCATTTGCAAAATAATAATCAATTGTCTCAGTCTTCACTGTTCCTTCTGCAAATATCCATCCGTTTTCTCTGATTTCATTGTTCATGCATTTTCATACCAATTGCTCTTCATTCCTGTTCTTTCTTTATTGACCTTCTGCCAAAATACATTCTATGTCTGACCTTTGCCATATACTACTTATATGGATATAAGTAGACTACACTAGAGAACTAGTTATTGTTTGGGATTGAAAATGTTAGTTGAGTAATGTAGCATTCTAGCAGGACTATTATTTTTACTAATCAAAAGAGAAGCGTACAAAACAGCGAGATACTGTAGATACAATTAATTGTTTGATATTACGTTCCTGTTATGAAATTACATTAGATAGAGGTGTTATCCTACGTGCTTACATGTCATTGTGCCGGTTGAGTACTGCATTAGGATTCAATGAATTCCTAGATGTTAAAGTCATAAGCATCTAGATTATGAAATCTTAGCTATCTTAATAAACTCTGAGCAATTGAGGGAATCTATGATTATTGAACATCTGTAAGATATTAGTTACTTCCTTGATTTGTCTACTCACTTTCATGCCGAGGATAACTTGTCTAATGTAGATTAAGACCTTGACGCAATAGACTGACTAGCTTAACCTTCAGGTTAGTATGTGTGGGTTTGAAGTAGGGTAGAGAGACGAAAAATATTCTATCACGTGACTAATTGACAGGCACGCGTGAGAGAGAAGACAAGACAACTGGAACACTACTCGTTTTTTTCCCAAATCCGATGTGGTACCCGAATTCAGATTAGTGTAAAAAGATACATGAATAAATAGATGACTAACCCGACCACAACGTACAATAATTAGGAAAATAAAATTATGTTCAAAACTGGGGGATTAGAGTAGAAAATGGAGTACAAAAGGTTACGTCTAAATTACAATAGCTTTGGAATAGAATGGGCTATGGCAGTGAATCATACATCAAACGAAAGCTTATGATCTGTGGAATAGACTAGGGGTGAGAGTAAATGTTACTGTTGTATAAGCTTTGAATTAAATGAAATAACGTCCTCAAAAGTATCTTCTATAGTTTGTTAAGTCTTCTTGTTTCGCTGTTCATATCATGGAGTTTGTGATTTCGCGTATTCTCTGTTAAGAGTAACTGCTTAACATGTATATACTGATGTGTTAGTTTGTTACAATTCACAAACACTTTCAGCGTATTGATAAGTAAACATCCTACTGTGCGATGTCTCTTAGGCACCTTGAGTGACACAGTACAAACATATTCGAAACGTCTTTTATATTCTCCAAATGCGAAATAACACTTCAATACTGTTTTGTATTAATAATTAGTTTGTCCATACAAAGTAAAGTAATCGAAAAGATCGTCTATTCAGGTTGTTTTTATGGTTTATAAACTTTGGTAGGTTGATGATTAAACATATCATCTCAAGTATAACAACTATTGAATACCAAGAACACTAGATAGCTATTCTGTTCCAGTATAGGATTACAAATTCACGAACTCATCAGTGATAGAGTCTAGAGTCTTTATGTCTCACAACGAGAGCTTAACCTGTAGACCAGTAGACTAACATTCAGTAGTGTACATGTCTAATTACTGATGTTATGCAACCATTTTCTTATTTAAATTTATTCATTTTTCTCTATATCATAGTTGGTTATCACAAATTTACACTTATTTTGTACAGCTTACATATTCTTTGATATCAATCCAAATCTTATGAAGAGGTTTCTCTATTGAAAGTTTATCATAATCAATCCAAATAGAACTTATGACTAAACTGTTGGGGATGTCAAAAACACAAGAAATTACTTGATAAAATGGCATAATTTTGTAATTTTATTTTGAAAATTTGAATTTAGCTGTTTTCGCGCCAAAAGCGCTCTTTTTACCTTCACGTCATATATCCCACTTGTAAACTATCTTAAACGCTATTGGTCCATTGTTTATTTGAGTGTGCTATTTTATAATGATGCTCAAGGACAATTTGTTGCTGTAATATATACGCTTGAGTTTTTCCCCTTATGACTTTCTTGTACTCGGCTGATTACGGAATATATATTCCCCTAGGTTGCCTTGAACTTCTTCATCTAGTTAGCGGGGCCTGGGACAACAGATTAGATTAGCTTATCGTGTCATTGGCCTTTCGTTCGTTACCGCGAAATCGACTTAGTTCAAGCATATCTTTTTATTTATTTAAGCACATAAATATTGGTACAAGGAAGCACCAGATATATATGCGCCGCAGAAATCTCATTTGATTTGTGTGAGGGCTGTGATACTGCACAGGTGCCCAAACTTAAGCAGGTGGTTTTCTTAGGGGGCCACACCCGGAGCCTTTGACCCGAAAGTCTGATCCACAAGGCAGTGGAGCATCGTAAGTAGATGTAGTCACATGGTAGCCGGTGACCAACAATTGGTTCGTACGCCATTTGTTTTCTCTGGATCCTGGAGCCCATATGCATACCATTAGTTTGGAATCAGGGTTTTCAACTCCCCTAGATAGACTTTCCGTGTCCACCAATCAGCCGGTTAAAGCGCCGGACATTCGCTTTTCGTCCTCTCAATTTTGTGAACAACACCCCCGCCATAAGAAAGCAGTGAGTAGGACTTCCCTGGCAGAGGCTATATACACGTGTTTATGTGAGAGTATTTCGAGAGCGAGAGCTGGCTCTCCCCAATCTTGGCCGTACCAGGGCATTTGGGGGCTTGACTACATGAAAATGTTTTTAATTCTCTATACCTCATCTGGAATTGAACCTCATATTGCATAACGTTGAGGAGACAGAATGTTTTCTCTAAGGTTTTAGTCGAATGTTTATTAAGTATTTCACCTTTGAACAAGTTTAGAAGATGAAGCAATTTAATTACTGAATTAACATATGGAATTGGAGTCAGTAAATTGAGTTGAATAAGTCAGCTTATAATAATAGATTGACTTTTCTTAATATTTATTCACTGAA